GTAGCATTTTCCATCATGAGTGACAGTAGCACTTTTTAAAAGCATCAATGAAACATTTAACTTTTTTTCATTTTATTTTTCAACTAACAAGCATTTCTTTCCTTTCTCTCCCATCTTCCCCCTAAGGTAGGGGAGAGTGAGGAATTCCAGGTGTCAAAGTTGTGGCCCTTTGATACACAAATTGGAAGGCATTCTTGGTGGTAAGCAGTCCATAGTTCAAGACTTGATAAGGAGATATCTCCAAAAACAAGATATTCCTAAAGAGAGCCCCATAACTAAAATTAGGAGAGTCTCTAGAGATAGAGTTGTCTCCAAAAAACACAAACCAGGATATGTCCATAGCCTCATAATCTGCGGTCAAGAAAGTCTTTGAAGATAGGGATGTCTCTTGAAGGTCCATAAATCACCAAATGGCTCAGAGTCTGCCTCAAAGCTGGTATGAGCTTAATTGGCTTCAGAGTTGCTGATTTTCTGCACATCTGGCTAGGTTTACTCTCTGTCACTGAAAAGGATTGTTGATATGTCAAGCCAATACAGCCAGTCCTCATACACTTCTTCTGGTTACTTGGATAATGAGGGATGGGGGTGGGGAGGAGTGGACCTCAAACAAATTAAGGTATCCATTTTCACAATATTCTTAGTCAAACAAAACAAATTTCCACATTATCCCAAAATAGATGCCTCATTCTGCATCTTGACTCTTAAATCATTTCTTAGCCAGGAAGTGGCTAGCATAATTTATTATCAGTTCTCTCTCACTATAGTAGGTTATTTGCATTCATCAGAGTCTTTCAAAGTTGCTGTTTGTACAATTTTGTTATTGTATAAATTGTTCCCCTCATTCTGCTCACTTTACTCTGCGTCAGTTCATACAAATCTTTTCAGATTTTTTCTGAAACCTTTCCTCATTTCTTATGGAACAATAGTATTGTATTACAGTCATGTATTTGCTCGGCTACTCCCAGGTTGATGGGCACCTCCTCCATTTCTCGTTCTTTGCCACTTGAAAAAAACTTCTATAAATCTTTTTGTATGGGTGGATCTTTTCCTTCTTTCTTCAATCTCTTTTGCAGGTTTTACAGAACAAATCTTTTAAGGGGATTTGTTCTGTGAAGTTTGGATTCAGTCAAAGGGCCACACTTGAGGACCTAGAGGGCCACATGTGGCCTTGAGGCCTCAAGTTCCCCACCCCTGGTTTATGGCATAGGACTACTTGTGCTATTGCTGAATCAAAGGGTGCGCCCAGTTTAGTGACTTTTGTGGCATAGTTTTAAACTCTTTTCTTGGATGAGAAGACCAATTCCCAGCTTTACCATTACTGTGCCAAACATTTTTTTTAATCAGTCCTTGAACTTCCTCAAAGAAAACGAGTCAAGATCCCTCATTCACTGCTCTAAAATTCACATCTCTTGCTAAGTGTGAATAGAACACATGGCTTACTTCAGTCATTGGAGTATAGGAAACTGTCAGCTTATTCAAACCTGAGGCTTTTGAAAACTCTCTGGGCACTAGGCCAACCCACCTTGATGGTACTTAAAAAAAACAACCTACCAACTGATCTCTATGGGAAGCAGAAATACTTGCAAAGCTGAAGAAGGTGGATAATTGAAATTTTACTACCTAGACTAACAGTTCTAAAACTTTTGGTCTCAAGACCCTTTTATACTCTTAAAAATTATTGAGAACCCCAAAGAGCTTTTGTTTATGTGGTTTATATCTATCATATTAAATTTATTAATTTAATTATTAATTAAAATGTTAAATTAAAATATTAAATTTACCATATAGATTACATATTTGTCATATTAAAAATTAAAACTGAAAAGATTTATAAATTTTGATTCATTAAAATAAGAATATAAACCCATTACATTTTAACCTAAGTAACATATTTCTACAAAAAATAATTCCATATTTTCCAAAACAAAAAAATGAATGAAAAGAATGACATCGTTTTGCATATTTTTGGCAAATCTATTCATTGTCTTGCTTAAAAGAAGAAAGCTAGAGTGCAGCTAGGTGGTGCAGTGCATAGAGCAGTGGCCCTGAAGTCAGGAAGACCCAAGTTCAAACATGGCCTCAGATACTTACTAATTAGCTATGTGACCCTGGGCCACTGAACCTCCTTTGACTCAAAAAAAAAAACCCACAAAAAAGAAGAAAGCTAGGTTCTTATGTTTGTTTTGAATTCAATTTGTTGCCATTTATGGTTTGGTTGACCTTGCACAGATACATAGTTGGAAAAGGAAGGAATATTTTAATGGACAAATAACTTCTTAGTATCATTATGAAAATAGTTTGATCTTATGGATTCCTGAAAGGGTCTTAGGGACATGGGGTGAGAGGTGCCAGAAGTGATACTTGGAGTACCTCTGTTCCAGAGAACTAGGCTGCAAAATGAGAAGACCGAAAACCTTAGCTCGGCCCTTCTTTGCGTGTGCGTGCCCCCCCCCACACACACCCCCCATACACTTTTTCCATGTAGGGGGAGAACAGGAAAAGAGTGAAAGAAGGCACATGCATATTCATGAAAATACTTTTTGCCAGTTTTGGAAGACTGAGGATCTCGATCCATGCAATTCCAGAGGATTTATGATAAAACATATTACTCACTTCTTGGTAATAATTAACAACAATAATAGCTAACATTTCTATAGCAATTACTATGTGCCAGGCACAATGCTAAATGCTTTATGATTATTGTTTCATTTGATCCCCACAACTACCCTGGAAGGCAGGTGCTATTATATCCCCATTTTACAGTTGAGGAAACTGAGGCAGACAGAGATTAAGTGACTTGCCCAGGGTCATACAGCTATGTGTCTATGGTCACATTTGAACTCAAGTCTTCCTGACTCCAGGCCTAGCATGCTATCTACTCCACTGCCTAGCTACCTCACCTCCTGATACGGAGATGATGGACTCAAAGTGTAGAATGAGATAATTTTTTTTGGATGTGGGCAAAAATTTGTTTTGCTTGACTATATATGTTTGGAATAGGTTTTGCTTTTCTTGCTTTCTCAAAGGAGTGTTGGGGTGAGAGGGAAAGAATGTGGACCTAAAAAAATAGAATTTAAAAAAGAAAGTTTATTGAGCTTTCAGAGGAGGAGGAAAAAAGGAACAATCAGAGAAGAAACTTTTTTCCACCCCTTCTGTCCCTCTCCCAAGTCCAGTGTGATGGAGGAAGGAGAGGACACAGGGGAGAATAGCATAGGCATTCTCTAACTTATGATTTGATTTGTAAGTAGGTTCTTTGAAACTCGGAAAGCATTTTTGTTGTATAAATATTACAAAATAGTGCACAGTTCCCAAAAACCTTTTTTTTTAAAAAATATGTAACTAACTTTTGGCAGGGAGCTCCTCAGAAAACAACTTAGGAGCCAGCAGACAGAGCTGCCTGTGTCAGGGAAGCTCCCTTTCCTGGGCTCTCTCAGCTGTGAGGGGTTTCAGATTTAACTTTATAGCAAACTGCCCAGAGTTCTGGTTTTGACGCTCACCTTGAAGGGGACTGGTAGATAGAGAAAAAGCTCAGCAAACAAGCAAGAGAAAAAAAGAGAAAGGAGAAGGGAGAGGGAAGAAAAGAGGGGAAAAAAGAGACCGTGACCTAGTGGACAGATGGAGAAAGATAGTAATTCGGTGCCAGCCCAGTGTGAGCCTGCATACACTCAACTGTGCCATCACAGGCTGAGCTGGTGATATCAAGCATTACCCCTCCCAGGGCCTGAATCCTAAGAGCAGCCGGAGACTTTCAGGGATGTGGAGAGGCTGCCTTTTAGCTGGCTGGGTCATTCCCTTGCTTTACACGATCCCCAGTGGAGAATCGACTGGAGGGAGACCCATCACAGCGCTCCTCACTCCTCAGTCTCATTCCCTACTCACTTAAAACAGCAGCCCAAGGCAGCTGGTCAGACTGCCGTATCTGCACGCCATATGGCTTTAAATACTTTCTCGGTGCATGTGGGTCTGCATAATGGTCATTGAAGCGGTGCCAGTTCTGCTCACTTGAATGCTAGCAATGATCGTGGGAACTGCGGGAGTCCGAAACCCTGGCAGGGCGGCAGATTTCGAGTTCTGGGTTTTGTGTCTAAGTTAACACTGCCAGAAAAAAGACCTCTGGCTGAGGATCCAAGCATTAAGAAGGACAATAGTTCATTTGAGGAAGAACCAGATACTTCTAGTACACATGGGCCCAGTAAAGGGGAGAGCAGTAACAGGAGATTGGGAAAGAAAATGACATCTCTTGCCTTTGCCCAGAAAACCCCAGCTGGATTCAAACCGAGGCTGAAGAGAAGGGAAGGAGGGGGTGGTGTGGGTGGGGAATGGTTGAAATGGAAACACATTTGAGCATGCTCAATGGGTCTCGGCTTAGCTGGATGACTGACAGCTTAGGCGGCTGAGCTCACTGGCACCGCCTGGTGGTTATATATAAAACTGGAAGTAACTAGATTCAACCCCTTCATGAGTCAGTCAAGCATTTAAATGTTTATTATGAGGCCGCTAGGTGGTGCAATGGATAGAGCACTGAACCTGGAGTTCAAATTTGACCTGACACTTAACTAGCTGTGTGACCCTGGGCAAGTCACTTAACCTGTTTGCCTCACTTTCCTCATCTGTAAAATTAGCTGGAGAAGGAAATGGCAAACCGCTCCAGGATCTTTGTCAAGAAAACCCCAAATGGGGTCACAGAGTTGGATATGATTGAAATGACTGAACAAAGAGCCCTAGGAATTAGGAGACCTGGGTTCTGACACTAACTAGCCTTGACCGTCTGTTAAGCCTATACAGCAAAGGTCTGTTCTGCTTTACAGCTTACTCTCACTTATAAAGGACTCATTCCAGGTATTAATGCACAGTTATTTCAGGGGGCCAAGTAATATAACCAACCGTCAAACAGGGCATGTCCAAAACTTCAGGTTCTCCTTCCTTGAGGACTTTGAGGATGATGCATCTGCCTGTTTCTGGTGACTTAGTGCTGAAGGACACTTTCTTCTTATTGGCAGAAAGAGCTGATGACTCAACGGACCTTTCAGAAAGAGTGCTTCCACCCCAGCTCTCTTCCCTGGAGCTCTTTCCCTCCATCCCAGCAGAAATGGGGAACAGCAGAGAATGTAGCTAATTAAAGCAAGTACTTTGTCTGGATGTCCGGTTACTGCTTCTGTGTTTCTTTGCCTGATCACTTGACTGAACACTGATTTTGGGATAGATGTGTTCAGTCCTGGAGAAAACCTAATGGGTTCAAGAGATTTAGAGCTCCTAGATCCACTGGGTAGGGCTAATTGGTGGCAGAGGAAATTTCTGCATTAGAGAAATGACCACTGACAAGAAGAGAAACCGGAGCCCTGACCCAGCTGCCTGGCAGACATGTACTTTGAGAGAACAGTATGGAGTCTCATGGTGAAACACGGCAATGTCTATTTAACAGTCACACAAACTGCTTAGGTTGCTATGTGATTTAATCTCACCCTCCCAGAAGAGCATAACAGCAGTTATTATTGACACTTGTTTAGTCAGCTTAAGTTTTTGACAATGTGCACTCATGAGAGCCTTTTGAATTAAGCATTTGAGTAAAGCAAAAAATATCTGTCCCATACCTGATTTACATTGTAATTGAGTACTTTTTACTCTCCACCCAGGGTACTGGAGTGGGAATATATTGAGCTGAGCAGTGCGAGAAAGGGGAGCCTGAGGCCGCCTGTTATAGGTCAACCCCTTCCCAGTCTCCTGGACTGCGTGCAATTGATCCAGATAATATAGGATACTTAGTGGAAGGGGAGTGGTAACAGTGCCCCAGGCCCTTGGTGCAACAGCAGTTTTTGTTGTTAGAGTAAGGACATGGGGTTGCCAAGGGAACCATGTTCAGAACCATTGCAGCAAGGAGCAATGGGGACCCCACCCAAAAAGACAACATCCGGTGACTTAGGCAAGAAATGAATGGCTGGGAATGCTGTGAGGGGAGTTATTTTTAGCTGGAAGGGAAGCACCAGGACTTGTATGGCCTTGGTGTGTCTCTCTGCTCTACATAGCCCTGCTCTTGTCCTGTCTGACCTCAGCGGCTGGCACGGCTAAAGGGGCCCAATGGCTCCCCTTGTCTCTTGTTCCTGCCTGGTGTTGCCCAAACCTGCACCCAGACAAACCTACCTTATAGGGCAAGGCTGGGGAACGGAGTTAGGAATTCTGGCCACTTTCACCTCCTTGGCTCCAAGCAACACATTCTTTCCTTGGGAAAAAAAAAGAGTGGATAGTGCTCCAAATGTGCAGAACTCCCAGTTAGCTCTGTTGGTGAAGCCAGGGCTCTCTGCACACCAGGGAAAGAGAGATAAAGACAAACACCAAGACCGTACTTCCCTTTATTGTAGGTACACATTGCTACTGATACACAGGTTGTCTTAGGCATTTCCCTTGGGAAGCTGTGTGTGTGTGTGTGTGTGTGTGTGTGTGTGTGTGTGTGCGCGCGCGCGGGCCAGTTTGAACAGCAGTCTCTGTCCCAGCCCTTGGGGCACATTTGTCACAATAGGGCGGACTTCTTGCCCAATCCCAGGACAGCCCAGATTCCAGAGGCCCATTTTCTGGCTGTTGAGAATGGTGTCTGTGTTTGATTTTGGGCAAGGCCAAGAGAAAGGTTCGGAATTATGCTACAGCAACAGGGATGAAAATAGCTGGTGGGAACTTAACCTTTCCAATGCAAATACTCTGAGTGCCCAGAATGGATCACTGTGGTCAGGACCCAGAGAGAGGAGATGGGGAGGTTACCTCTGGCTGTCCCTGGCCAGAATTGCTGCTGGAGAGAACAGAGACAGATGGGATGGCAGAGAAATTTCCCCTTCCTTTTTCAGGTCCCTTATGTTCCTGAAAGGACATTTTAGGGCGGTAATTCTCTCTCTGTCTCTCTTTCCTGCTCTGAGGGCAGGCTCACCAGACACAGCTCAGCTCTGTCCCCTCCCTCTTCCTTCCTCCTAAGCACAGCATGGTGTTAGCTGGCTTGATCAAAATTCCAATGGGGAAGGCAGATAGTAACAGAAACAAAGACAAGAGCTTGTGGGAGTCAGGAACATTGTTGTGGGGAGGCAAGGGGAAAAGTGGAAAGGAATTTGACAAGGAAAGTTTGGTCTCTGAGGGTCACTTCTGGCTTAGGCTGAAGACTCCCACAGTGATAAGGGATGAGGGTGGACAAGGTCACTTTGGAGAGTTAGATATGGCTTGGCAGGCTGGTTAATCCCCTCCTGGCCCTGGAAGGAACCATGTCTAATAGCCACATGTTGCATGATGCTAGCCACCTAATGTCCCAAGGGAGACTGTCAGCAGAGGTGGTGAGGGAAAGAGGGAAGGTAAGGACAGGGGCTCTCTCAGAACCTGCCTCCAAGGATGGGGATGGGGATGGGGATGGGTTGTATTAAATATAACATTGGCAGTTTTCCTGGGGTATCACCAGGGAGTGCTCAGAGCATCCTCCTGGGAATGAAAGGAGGAGGGGAGTCCCTCCTTCCCAGCATCACCTTCTCTTTAGCACAGAGATGCATGACTTCTTGAGGGGCCCAATCTGTAGGTGTGCATCCACACTCTCCAGAAAGAAAGCTGGCTTGAGCCTGTGGGTGAACAGGTTGGGAAAGTGATTGTCCAGCCTGCTCTGGAAGGGCGACGAGGGGGAGGGAGGGGACCCGCCTCGGCGGGGCTTAGAGGCCCTCAGCCTCTGTAAGAGGCTCACTTTCCCATCCTTCACAGCATAGAAAGCCAGGGCCCGGTCAGCATATTCCAGGCAGACCCCCACCGTGGGGCAGAAGGGGTGAGGAAGTGGGGCCTCCAGGCCGTAAAACCAGACAGAAAAGTTTCGGCCGTTCCATTGCAGGCAGCTGGAGTAAGCATTTCGGCCTAGCCGGCCTCGATCATAGGGCTCTCGGGGAGAGAAGTCCTCAGCCATGATGCCCACGCTGACCCATCCCTCGATGATCTCCACCTCCCAGTAGTATGTGCCTCGGTCCAGGCTGCCCTCTCCCAGCACCTGCTCACAGTGGGTGAAGCGCATGGGAGACTCGGGGTAGCTGATGGGACACAATACCCTCTTCACACCCTTTGTCCCAAACAGCTGCAGGAACTTATCTGCTGTGTCACTGTCCAGGTCTACAATGAAGGCAACTGGTCCCCAGGGAAGAGAGAGAGACAGAGACAAAGGGAGAGAGACAACACAGAGCCAGAATCAGATTTTCCTCTTCCAATATAGCAGGGATTCAACCCCACCATTTCCACCCATACCCTCCAAACACATGAGGATTACAGGTTATCTCCACCTAACTCTCTCAACACCTTATAGTGGGCAGGGAAGAGCTACCCTCTGAATCAGTAGCAGGGCTAGGCTTGGGAACCTTGTCAGTCTGACTCCAGAGCCCCAGGACTAGTCCTAATACTGTAAGTGATGCCACAGGTTTCTATGGTGTGTAGGGGGAATGCTTCTGCGACCAGCCCCAGGGAACATGAAAGACCCATGAATAATGAACGCCCCAGGGGTCTGGGGCCAGGCAAACACTCACACTTAAGAAAGTAGTCTCTTGACTCCTCACACACCAGACCATTGGTGCTGTCAGGATCTTGAGATTCTGCATCAGCTACAGGAAAAAGAATGTGAAAGGTTTGGTCCAAGACAATGCAGAAGATGGTGGGGAAGTGGCTTGTGTAGACAGTCCCTAAAATGCTATTTTGGTCGAAGATGACTAATCAACAAAATCCAGAGTAGTTCCGTCTCATGCTTACTGCTGGCAAATGATCGACCAGGTGGCTGATCTACTGGTTGACTGTTCTGTCTGTCACATAATCAAGAGTCAAGAACCGGACTGTCTTGGCTAGACTGTTCCTTTCCTGAGCCACTTTTTTGAGGTATCTATTTGATATTTAGAGCAGAGGTTCTCAAACTTATTTAGCCTACCATCCCCTTTAAAAAAAAATTACTCACGCCCCCCCCTGAAAATCTACTAAAAAATGTTTTTTTTTAAAATTTGTGTCATTTCAAAAAAATATCTAATTTTTTTTAAATGACACATTTTAAATTTAATAATTTATTTTAAATTTGTGGGGTTTTTTTTCCTGCCTTGTATTTTGATGGTGCAACATTGTGTCATTACACACATGTATTCCTGCCGATGCATGCTGTACTCCCCAACAGTGCCAACATGCTAGCCTGTCAACACCTGTTGTTACCTGTTGGCAGACTTCATTTTGTGTGTTAATTTGGAAAATAATGTAATGGCTATGACATTAATTGTGTTACACGACAGATGAAACATGGATGGACTAACGGTTTTTCAAAATGTTCTTCTCTTCTTTCCTTATGCTTCTTTTATTCAACACCCCTCCCTCCCCTCCCCCCAATTGCACTGGAGGCTACTACTACCCACCTTTGATCATTCCAGCATCCCCCAGGGGGTAATATTGCCCACTTTGGGAACCTCTGAAGAGGGAAGCAGGAAAGAAGGAAAGAGAGAGAGAGAGAGAGGAGTGTGTGTTGCTACAAGAAAGAAAGAATGCAAAGAATATTGGATTTGGAGTGAGAGCACCTGAGTTCAAATCCTAACTCTGCTGCTCTATCCCTGTGTGACCTTGGGTCAGTCACTTTCACTTCTCAGGACCTCGGTTTATTCATCTGTAAAATGAAAGGGTTGGACAGCTAGGTAGCATAGTAGGTAGAGTGCTGGACTTGGAGTCAGGAAGACCGAGTTCAAATTCTTCCTAGTTGTGTTTTTCCCTGGGCTTTCCCTCAGCTTCAGGTTTTCCTATCTCTCCCTCAGGGTTGCTGTGCAGATCAAATGGGATAACATATGTTTTTGGGTTTTGGGGGGTTTTTTTGGTTGGTGTTTTTTGTTTGTTTTGGTTTGGTTTGGTTTTTGGCTAGGCAATGGGGTTAAGTGACTTGCCCAGGGTCACACAGCTAGTAAGTGTCAAGGGTCTGAGGCCAGATTTGAACTCAGGTCCTCCTGACTCCAGGGCTGGTGCTCTATCCACTGCGCCACCTAGCTGCCCCTAAATGGGATAACATACATAAAACACTTTGCAAACCTTACAATGCTATATAAGGTGCTAGACGATGATGATGATGATCATCATTATTATTACATGATCTGTAACATATTCTATAATCATCCTATGAGCTT